AAATAAGTTTCATTACCAATTATTAAAAAAATTCACTTTAATTGATAATTTTCACGTAAAATAAAGTCAAACGAATACTAAATTTTGATGAATAAAATGATTGTTTAAGAACATTTTTTTTAAAACTTTTTTTTTACTTTTTGGCAATGGAAATAAATTTTATAATCAATTGTGAAAAAAATTTCACTTTAATGGACAATTTTCATTTAAAATAAAGTCAAACGAACACAAAATTTAAAAATTTTCAGGATGTAATATTATAACAATCAAACACATTTAATTAAGAATTCCCTACAAAACAATTTTTAGACAATTACTTTATTTGGAATCATTTTCTTTCCACCATTCCAATCAAACGATCTCTTAGTTTTACATGTATTTTCATGTGGTTTAAATATATCTTACTATAATAAAAACGTCAGTTTTAGAATCATTGTAGAAACAACAATAAAGGAATGAGATGTTATTGAAGAATTTTCCATACTTCACTCCTCCAGTCCTCCACTTTTTGCTACTATGTAAAAAAAAGGAGGCAATTTTCACTCGATTTTAACCGTTTTGTTGTATATTTTGTTTTTGGAATTTGATTTTATATGTCGAGATGTGCGAACACGGAGTGTCCGTGCACGGTGAGACACTTTCTATATAAAACAAAGTCAAACGAACATTAAACTTTGATGAAAAAATGATTTTTTAAGAAGCAATTTTTTTTTTTTTTTTTTTTACTTTTTGGCAATGGAAACAAATTTTATAATCAATTGTGAAAAAAATTTCACTTTAATGGACAATTTTCATTTAAAATAAAGTCCAACGAACACAAAATTTAAAAATTTTCAGGATGTAATATTATAACAATCAAACACACTTAATTAAGAATTCCCTACAAAACAATTTTTTGACAATTACTTTATTTGGAATTCATTTTCTTTCCACCATTCCAATCAAACGATCTCTTAGTTTTACATGTATTTTCATGTGGTTTAAATATATCTTACTATAATAAAAACGTGAGTTTTAGAATCATTGTAGAAGCAACAATAAAGGAATGAGATGTTACTGAAGAATTTTCCATACTTCACTCCTCCAGTCCTCCACTTTTTGCTACTATGTAAAAAAAAAGAGGCAATTTTCACTCGATTTTAACCGTTTTGTTGTATATTTTGTTTTTGGAATTTGATTTTATATGTCGAGATGTGTGAACACGGAGTGTCCGTGCACGGTGCCTCCGCCTCGCGGAGACACGGACACAGTGTCTCCGCGCGCGCATAGACTTTTTTTTTTTTGGTTTCTTTTTCCCTACTATCTCTACTATATATAAATCCCTTCCATTTTTTTTTTCTTTTCCCTTCTCTTTACTTCCCATTTTCTTCTACAAAACGACGCCGTTTTATTTCCATTTTTTTAAATTTACTATTTCAATCTATTATTTGGTTTTTCATTAGTCGATGATGAAGAGTTAAGAGTTAGAATATGTTATTTTGTTCTTTGTAATTTGTATTATTTTCATTTGAAGTTAAAGTTGAAGATGTATGATTTTTGTGTCCTTATGGCTATTATTTTTTCTATGAGGTCGAGAATTAGTCTTTGAAGGAAGTTGACAAGGAAAAATTACTTGGTAAATGCGACAACAGTGAAGAATCTTGAATACTTCATCCAAATGTAAGCAAAATTTAAATTCAATTATAAATTATTTTGACGTGTATTTTTATGCATTTTTTCCCTTTTATTTTTTTTTTTCCTTTGTCCCTACGAGATTATAAGAATAAGGCATGTTTTTATGGTTTCTTTTGCGCTCAAGAATTCTGTCTTAGCTAATGGAGATTTTTTATTATTATTTTCTATTTTATTTTATTTTTTATTTTTTTTATTTTGTGTGCATGTAATCATAATGTTGAATGAGAACAATTTACCACAACGCCTTTTTCAATCTATTGGACCATCATCTGGACATAATGTTAGACATATTTACAATATTAGGAAAAATGGACATATATGTCGCTTCGCAATAGGTTGGTCAGAGTATGTAAGACATAAAAATATCCAAGTAGGTGATATATGTGTTTTTGAGCTCCTCAATGAAGATGAAGAAATATCAATGTTTGAAGTGTACAAGATCTATCCTTCAGATGGAAGTTTCATTCCTACGTAAATTATGATATTATGCTCTTAACTTTTTACTCATGCTTACGTTTTTCCATTTTTTGCCATTTTTGCACGAACACAGATACAAAAATATCTTTCACAAATTTACTTTTGTGGACATGTATTCAATCCCACTGATAAGTGTTTCACAAGTTCTATATACTTACACTCCATTTAAATATACATATTTTCAACCAAATTCTTCTATATTAGTTACACTCCCATTAAATATACCTAATTTCAATTTTTTTTTCTAAATAAATATATTCAATTGTGGATTTTCACATTTCTCTTATATTATTAAGTGAATATATTCATTTGCAAATTCCGACTTTTGACTCATGGATTTCATCACAATTTCGAGTTGATAAATCCGATGGAATTTTTTATCCATGTTTTACCAACCAGTATTATCATTCTCACCTTATACATAAGTTACATAAATAACTAACTACAATATGCTAATTGATGAGTAATTAACTTTTAATTCAAAATTTTAAAAGTATACTTGAATTTTCAAATCTTTCTTCAAAAAACTACAATTTCTACGCTAATAAAGACAAAACAAATACAAATTTCGTGCAACGCACGTAACACCGACTAATTATAGTTAAAATATGGGTTTTTATATTTTCATAATTCTCCAAAATCATTCCCAAATACCTTTTTTGACCATCTAAATAAGCGTAAAACATACATCTATCAATATTTATTTAGAATTATCAACATGTCATTGCTCGAAAAAAGAAGCATAAAAGAGAAATAAGCGAGTCCACACAACAATTTGCAATTTTGTTACAAAAAGAACATGTTAGGACGAAACATAGTTTGATATAATTCTTATGATCTTATTGGAACTAGGTCAAATCGAAACATGTCCATTTCTAATTATATGCAAGATGTCTCTTTGAAGAATTATCATTCTCTATATAAAGGAATTTTATTCTCAATTTGCAAAGTTTTGCCACGTTTAGGTCAGAAATATTGAAGAGGACTCGAGCGTTCCATTTATCAAAGAGTGGGTGCATAACTTAATTTTTTCCTAACTAATTATTTAAGGATAGGCAAAATTAACGAGAACCCAAGGCTGATTTGGAGGAGGGACTGCCCTCGGCTTCAGCCCAATTTGATTTTCTCTTTTAAAAAAAAAAAAAAAAAAANNNTTTTTTAAAAAAAAAAAAAAAAAAAAAAAGTGGAAATTATACCTGATCGTAGTTTGTAAATTCCCAATTCAAAAATCAGATTTGAAAGTTTTTTGTTCAAAAATTAGGTAATAATTTGAACTTTTTAATATTATATAATTAAATTAACCTACCCCCACACCACACAAAACCCTAATTTATCGTTAAAAAATATATTCGATTCATTTTCCAACTCCATTCCACCCAACCCTTGACGATTCTTCATGATACTCGTGCGCAGGGCGACAGGCATAGCACTGGCCCCCTTGCACGCGGTGATTGTGAGGCACCAAAGCCCGTGCGTGCCGCACTAGCACCTCACAAATTGCCTTGCGCACAAAGCAGCGGCTCGCGCCCATCACCGTTATTTCTTGCGTTGGCGCCCATCTGTTTCTCTGGTACTAGTGTAAGAGGTGTGAGGTGGGTTGTTGTTGAGAGCCGACAAAGTTTGTAGTTTCTCTGTAGTTTGTGTCTTGTGGTTGAGAGTCGGCGATGTTAGGTCTATTAGTTGAGCACGCGACGATATCGGTAATTCATGGTTTCCAGCGACAAGCTGTTAGGGGGGTTTTTCTTCCTTCTCCAATTTGCTAATTAAAAGTTCAGGGGTCGTTTTTGTTGATGATTTACAAATGGTGGTGAAGGTGGAGGTGGTGGTGGTTGTGATGTTCGCTACGATGGTGAGGTGGTAGTGATGTTAGCGTTGCTGGTGACGTGATGGTGATGTTGGTGGTGGTCGAGCAATCATTGTGATAATTTTACATTCGATTTTTTAGCGCTGTTCGGATGGTGGTGATTGTGATGTTGGCAGCGCTATGAGGTGGTGGTGATGTTGACTGTGCTGATGAGGTGGTGGTCGTGGTCCTCGTGGAGGTGGTCGTGGTCGTGGTGGTGGTGCGGTAGTTGTGAATAGAATGTGATGAAAGTGTTTGTGACCAATAATAAGTAATGTAACCTAAAAATGTGATCGCGATTTACAATTTATTAAGTTGTGACTATGGATGACAAAAAAAATCCAACAAACCTGATACCCGCGGGCCCGCCCCGAATGGGGCGGGAATTACCC